AGGACAAATCAGCAACAACGGCGCGGCACGCAGATAGCACGAGGGGAAGCGGCTAACAACACGCACGAACTCGGAAGCGCCACACATCGCCATTTATGGGGGTTAGCGGAATCGTTTAAGCCTCTTGAGTTGGTCTAGCAATGCAGATGCACATGATACATGAATACCGCGCGCTGCCCAGCAACAAACACTCTGAGTACCAGAGCTGGAAGAAACGTCAGTATGTTGCGGCCAAAAAACAAGCCGATCGCGAAGATCCCATGGGGTAGCCACCAAGACATCCCGACAGCGCAAGACACCGACAGCATCCAAGTGTTTTGTGCCATGCTCCCGCCCGGGCGAACGACGGCATGAATACACCAATCGCCGACTGCGTATCACTATAATCTGAAAGTGTTCTGAGAGTTGGAAGTGGCAAACCTGTTGGCCATCAGAGGGGCCGAGGACCTTTACCACTACCATTGCCGCCCCCTGGGGATCGCGGGGATCGATACTAGGACGAGAAGCATCTATTGAAACAATGTGCTGTTGATACGTTCCAGACAGCAGTTTTCGCTTCTCTTCCACGTATCATACGTGGAAGAAAAGCGACAACTGCTGTCTGGGGGCAGAACTGCCTACAGGGATGCGAAGGTTAGATGCCCAAGCTTCGCTCAAATAAGCGCATGTCCCTACACTGGGGGATCCAACCCGAGAAAAAGAAACGCCAGGGACGCCCCACGCAGATAGAGGCCTCTCACATGGGGTCAGAGCAGATCGGGTCGGAGGATCGCGCCGCATCGTCCATGCATCACCGAAATATCGGCGATGCACTGGCGAAGTAGGTGATGCATCAGCGCCGTCGGCGTCGAGAAAGTCGGGCTCCACATGACGGATTCCGGAAACCCTACAGTGGAGGCCAGTCCACAAGAAATCTTCCACAAGAAACCCAACCCTGAGACCCCAGAACGTCCACTGATCCTTGGTGTGGAAGCGTCACGCCTTCCACAGCAAAACCATCGAATCCCAAGAAACCCAGGCCGCCCAGGAGGCAAGCAGGGTGTTTCTTGGCATGGGCCCCCCACTGTACTTGAGCAGGGACCGACCGTCCCAGCATTCCTGTAGGTCTACCACGGAATTCTCTTAGAACCCAAAAACGTTCTAAAAAACAACAACAATGTGACTAGAACATAACCCCGATGTGTGAAAACAAAACAGTCACGGCCAGAAATGTTCTCTAAGAACACCTCATGCAAGCCACAAAAGGCTCTCAGAACATTCTTCGGTGGGCCTATAGGCGAGCCAGGACGCTTCGTCACTGCTTGATGTCCACCAAAAAACCGTGTCCTCTCTTGGGGGGGGCGACGTTCACTTCCGCGGGCTTCCGCCAGGCTTCCCCGCGGGCTTCCATAAAAAACTCGAAGCCCAATAAACCCAGGGCACTCCAGAGGCAAGCAAGGTGGTTCTTGGCATGGGCCCCCACTGTACTTGAGCAGGAGCCGACCGTCCCGGCATTCCTGTAGGCATACCACGACATGTTCTTGGAACCCAAGAATGTTCTGAGAACAAAAAAGCCCTTAGAACATAAACCCGATGTGTTAAAACAGACAGTCCCAGCCAGAACTGTTCTGAGAACACCTCGTGCAAACCACAACAGGTTCGTGGAACACTCTCTGGTGGGCCTATAGGCGAGCCAGGACGCTTCGCCACTGCTTGATGTCCACCAATAAAAACGTGTCCTCTCTTGTGGGGCCCGACGTCCACTTCCGCCGGCTTCCGCCAGCCTTCCACAGCAAAACCATCAAAACCCAGGAAACTCAAGGCACCCTGGAGGCAAGCAGGGTGTTTCTTGGCATGGGCCCCCACTGTACACCAACAAAAACCTTGTCCTCTCTTGGGGGGGCCGATCGGTCCACGTCCGCTGGCATCCGCCTGCCTTCCCCGCGGGCTTCGGCGGGCGGGGCCCCGCCCCCGTTGTCTTCTTCCGCGAAGCTCCCGGGGTGACCTGCTGCCGCCGTCCGCCGGGGAAGAGACGGCGGGCTCCAGGAATATATATATATATATATATATATATATATACACCACCACCACCACGTCGATGCCACCTCCCTCCTCTGCCCTCCTCTTCCTCTCCCCTTTCCTGGGAGAAGGAGGGGGTTAGGGACGTGGAGGTGGTGGTGCATATTTTTGGGCCCCGTGGAGATGGCAACTCCTACGATCCTCGGAGGCGAGGCCCTTCTCCTGGAACACCTCACATGGAGCCGCGTCGCCGATGCGTCGGCGATGCGGCGGAATGATCCGACCCAAGCTCCAACAAGCGCCCTGTCGGCGGCCCCAGGGGAGGAGGAGGAGAAGGGGGAGGAGGAGGAGGAGGAGGAGGAGGAGGAGGAGGAGGAGGAGGAGGAAAAGGAGGAGGAGGAGGAGGAGGAGGAGGCCCCAGGTCGGACCTGGAGCGGCCTGTCGGCGATGCGGCGGGGCCCCAGGCTCAGGACGCTCCAACAAGCGCCTGTCGGCGGCGAGCCCAGGAGGGAAGCGAGGAGGGGCGGGCCGTCTCAGAAGGCTCGGAAGTGCCCCAGCCTCCTGGAAAGCTTCCTGGGCCTTCCGCGAGGACACAGACGATCTCCCAGAAGGCCTGAGGGCCAAAGGAGGCGCCAGGGAGGCCCCGCGCAGAACGGCCGTGCAGGAAGCCCACGTCCCAGGTGCCCTCGAAATCCCAGCCCCTCGCCCGCCGTCGGACCTGCCCCCTACGCCCGGGGGATCCGACCGGAGAAAAGTGAAGGGGCCCTGGGACACACAAAAAAATACACACAAACAAGAGGATTCCCCATATTTTCCCATATCTTATGGGCTTCTGTCTCTCCCCCCACTTCCCACACTTTCCCATATTCTCCTGTGGATCGACGATTAATTGTGTCTGTGTGTTTTGCCCTTCTGAAAGAGAGGCGCCGGGGAGGCCCCGCGCAGGGCGGCCATGCAGGAAGCCCACCTCCCGGGCGGCCCCCCCTCCGAAGGCCCACGCGGGACGGGCGGCGGCCCACCCCCCAAGGGGGCGGACTGCCCCGGGGAGCACTCGCGCAAGGCGGGGGCTCGCAGTGCTGGGGCAATGCTGGAAGGCAGACCCCCCTGGCATTAGGTCGGGCATTGTCCCCCTACAGGGGGATCGATCTGGGGCGAAAGATCAAGCACACCCCCAAAAAATGCTCCCAAGTAGCAGAACATGCTCCAAACATCGTCCCCAGACAATTTCTTTGCACTATCTTTGAATATTCCTCCTTGAGAGGGACAGGCCCGACTTAACCCTAACATGATGAACGAGAAACACACACACACACACACACACACACACACACACACACACACACACACACACACACACACACACACACACACACACACACACACACACACACACACACACACACACACACACACACACACACACACACACACACACACACACACACACACACACACACACACACACACACACACACACACACGCACACACACACCATAGGAGGGTCGGAGGAAGGAGGACCGCCTATGGGCATGGGTGCGGGTTCTCGGACCCTTATACGCAGAAAGCATCTATACACCACCACCGTGCCAGGCCAGGGCCATCCTGGGCCCTAGGATGATGTATACGCCCTCCTGGCCGAGCCAGGAGGGTTTATACACCATCCTACGGCCCAGGATGGCCCTGGCCTGGCACGGTGGTGGTGTATAGATGCCTTCGTCGGACCTTAGGGAGGCTCCCGTTCGAACGGGGACCCCGATCCGACAGCCCGCACCCCTGGCCCCCTCCGTCCCCCCCGGTGGGTATAGGTGCGTGCCGTTCGCTCGGCATCACAGGGGATATGTCGACCCCTGTCCCAGGCCGCGTGTGGTTTTCGAATGGGCAGGAAATTTGGGGTCTAACCCTGGGATATACGAGGGGGGGCGTCCATCCTCGATAGGGGTGCGTCCGAATAGCTTCCTCGGGGTGTATCCCAGGGCTCCCCTCCTTCTCTGAGCGGCTTCCTGTTTCGTCGAAGAGTCGGGGTCTGGGGGAGAAAGTCGCCGCGACCCCCTGCTGCCACTTGGGGGTCGCAAAACGTGTGGTGACCGGCCGCGCGGTGATCTCGAGATCCCGAGGGACTCCCCCGCACGGCCCGCCACCGCACGGTGTTCTGGGTCGGTCTACAGACTCGGCCTCTGAAGTCGGAGGAGGAGGGGGAGAAGGAGGAGGAGGAGGAGGAGGAGGAGGAGGAGGAGGAGGCCCGTCGCCCGAGACATCCCTGGAGAGCGACTCCGGGTTCCAGAACCGCGCGTCGACCCCGAGCCCCCACGGGACTCACCACGCGCTGTGGTCGCCACAACGTTTGGGGCTCCCCGAGCCACGGACACTGGGGCAGCTGCTGCACTGGCTGCGCGAGCGACGCTGGCGCACCGGGGTGCCGAGTCCTCCACCGCCGCTCTGGACCGATACGCCCCGCCCTGAGAGCGCCACGCGGGGCAGCGCGGGAAGCATGGACTGTCCTGCAGCTGGCATCGACATCTTCACGCACTTCTCGCTCGCCGCAGCGCGCAGCCTCGCGCACCAGGCTAGGCTACTTAATCACATGCTCGTGCAAGCAAATCAACTCTCAATCATGACCCAGTCGCTTGCGCCATGGCCTCAGAGCCAACACGTGCCCTGACACATTCGCTGGGATTAAAGTCCACAGGAAAAAAACAAATTCCCCAACAGCTCGTATGCAAGTCTTTTAGCCTTGACCGAGCAACACACTCCGACCTTACCCGTGGCAAGCACGTTGCGCACAACCAAGACGGGCAAACACGAGCGTATAATAGAGTCTCCAGTGCCCCCAAGATACAGACATGCTCCTGATGGTGCTCAAGGGTTCCGCTTGACAACTTGTTTTTACATAGGGGCTGAATGTTGGCACGCATCTGACTGCAAGCGAAGGGCCAAAACACAACGAGCCACACATGCAGCAAGAGCACGCCACAAGACCTACAATGTCTTCTAGACTGCCCTCTCACTTTCGGAGTTCTTCTCGAAGAGCAACGAGGCATTTTCCAACGTTGTTCTGCCCAGTTGCGATACCACCTGGGGCCTGCATGCCAGCCCAGGGGTCGGTGCTGACCAGCACGATCATCTTCTCTCCAGTCCCCACGAGGGCTGCCTTGAAAACATCGCTCTGCGCGGCCTTTGCTCTCAGCCCCTCCATCAACAGCTCGCTCCTCTTCTCGCGCCAGTCCTTGCAGGTCCCGCTAACTCACGAGAGGCGGACGTATCCATATCCACGCCATCGCGGCCTGGATTCTGAGCCCACGATCCCGCGGATACGCGATCTCACGGATACGTTCCGCGCGGGGGATCCGCGGACAAAAAAAACGCATCCGCGGGGTCGCGGCCAAGGGACCCAGCCCGCGAGGCCGCACTCCAAGAGTTCTCAGGAAAGCCTCAACTTGGCACGCCCCTCACGCATTGGTGCCCCATTGACCTCTGGAGGCAACAGCTGGCCCTCAAGACGGCTCAAGGGGCCCTGAAGTCAGCTCACCCTTCACGCACTCGGTGCCCCATGGACCTCCAGAGGCATTCACCTGGCCCCTAAGACTGACCCTACTAGCTCCAATTCAGCATACATTTCAAGAACTTCGTGCCCCACAGACCCCAAGAAGCTATTAGGTGGCCTTTCAAGACGGACCCTCACGCACTCCGCACCCCATGGACGCCCAGGCCCTGCCCCTTCCAGGACGGCTCGAGGGAGCCTCCATCCGGCACAGCCCTTGCGCACTTCGCGCCGCATGGGCTCCCAGTGGCCCTCGGCTGGCCCTCGAGATGGCCGAAACGGGCAGGGGGGCGGACAGAGGAAGGGGCGAGGGAGGAGGGAACCCAGGTACCCCCGCGCCGCACTTGACATTTTTGAACCCGCCCGCCCATCCCTTCCCATTGTGACGACCTGCCTCTATCTGCCGCCGATGGCCGAGAAGGGTACCTACAGAGTTCGGCGCACCTCTCGCGCTCTTCGTGTCTCGTGGGCCTCCGCCCTCCTCCTCCTCCTCCTCCTCCTCCTCCGTCCTCCTCCTCCTCCTCCTCCTGCTCCTGCTCCTGCTCCTCCTCCTCCTCCTCCTCCTCCTCCTCCTCCTCCTCCTCCTCCTCCTCCTCCCTTTCCTCCTCCCTTTCCTCCTCCTCCTCCTTCTCCTCCTGGCCCTCGAGATGGCCGAGAAGGGTGCAGAGTTCGGCGCACCTCTCAAGCTCTTCGTGTCTCGTGGGCCTCCGGGGGTGCCGCTCCCCGAGCCCCGAAGCGTCGCCCGACGCCCCAGGCAGGAGACGCCGGGAGGGCCCCAGACCAGAGCCCACCGGCCCTCTGGGCGACGGGTGGTCCTCTTCCACGGCCCCTCCTTCCCTTCCACGGCCCCTCCTTCCCTTCGGGGAGGGGGAGCCCTCCCCATCCACCTCCCTTGTTTTTGTTTTGGAGGGGGCCCGATGTGGCAGGTGGTCTTTTTTTCGACCCCTGGGAGGGTCACTTAATGAGACCCCTCACGAGGATCGTGGCCCCCGAGGGGGGAAGCTACATCGAGGGCCCGCCTCTTCTGACCGACCGCCTCCAAGATGGCCCGCCAGAGGCCCCCCCAGGGCTCCCAGGAGGCCCCCAAAAGGGTTCCAAGAACGCGAGGCCTAAGAGGCCTCCGAAAGGCACCCGAGAGGCACCCAGGAGGCCCCCGAGCGGCCTCAAAGAGCCAAAAATGACCTCCAAGATGGCTCAAGATAGCCCAAGCTGGCTCAAGATGGCCCCAAAGATACCCAATACCGTTCCACGACGGCTCGATATGGCCACGGAACTCCCCAGGAGGCCGCCAAGAGGCCAGCATCCTTCAGATACCTAAATAACCTCAATGGATTTGGCCTTCTTGCCGTTTTGTTTTCGATGGCCTTCCGAAGCCTCAAGATGGCCCCAACACGCCGTCCAGTCCGGCCTCCCTCGCTGTTTGACTATGCGCGCCTCTTCCTCTCTCCCCCCGTCAGCTCTCATGGGCATAGTTTCTGGATGGGCTGGTGTGGAGTTTTTGTCGCAGTTGCAGGCGAAGGCGCCAGCGGCGAGTCGAATCGGCTCGGACTACGAGCGGAGCTAATTGCCGGCGCTGGTGTCGGTATTTTTGTGCCGCAGCCGCAAACGAAGGCGCAGGCGGCGTCAAACGGGACGGGCGGGCTACGCGCGAACCTAATTGCCTAACGCGCCGGCGTGCCGGAGGCCTAAGCGGCACCTAAGCGGACCGGAAGCGAGAGGTGGTGCGGGCTGCAGCTGCCAGAAAACAGGTCCAGGAGCGAACGCATACATAATTAGCCAAACAAGGTTGGGGCGCAGCCAAATTGGCGCGGGAGCGATACCAGGATGAAGCCAGGAGCACCATCACGAAGGACCGCAGACACCAGCTAGGCCAGGCTGGTGTGGATATTTTTGTTGATCTGCGACTCTAAGGACGATTCCAGAGAGCGGGTCAAACTCGACAGGGGCGCAACGCGAGACGATTGGCAACGAAGGCACATAGGCCAACGCCGCAATGCACATGCGAGGGACCAAATGAACCTCATTAAAGCTGGTGACGGGTCGCACTGTGGCGCCAGCCCCCACAGACCAAGCCTGCGAGACGGTGGGAACGCTGCGCGGACGGCACAGAGCTCGAGAAGGCACCGCCAAACGCGGCGAGGAGGACAGAAGGGGGGACAGGCGCAGGAGGCGACGAGGGGGAGAAGAAAGGACGGACGCCTCACTCACAAAGCACCTGAAGTGCTCGAAGACGGTGCGTTGAACCATGACTGGCGCCGGCGGCCTAGTCATGAGACCAAGCCTGCAACTGCCTTGCCACAGTGGATGGGGGGAGCGCAGTGTGGGACCACGGCTGCACCACCTGGGAGGCCTCGACCTGCCCGTGGGAGAACCGCTGGGCTGTCGTGGGCCACGTGTGCCGTGCACTGTGGGAACGGTCGTTGGCGTCGTTGGCGCACGCGAGCAAAATGTCCGTCACAAGAGAAGCCGGGGGCCGGCGGGTCGGGCCTGCCGTGTGAAGGCACAATCCTGTCAAAAGATGGACCACTTGACCAAGAATCCGGCCTCCCCAGGCCCACCCACCGGGGCCAGCAGGTGGCCCTGCCGAGGGGTAAGCCCGACCACCACGGAGCATGCACGTAAACGTTGCCACGGTGGGGGGACGCCGAGTGGCGCGGCACACCACCTCGGTGAGCGTGGAGGAGGGGGGGGAGGCGCAGCCGATAGCCGCAAGTCAAGTAAATAAAGGTGGTGGGGAGAGGGGCAACGCCGTTGCCAGGTGTGCGGTGGCCGCGGAGGACCCAACAGCGAGCGTTGCAAGTGGTGAGTTTGCGGGGGGAATGGTGTCCGACAAGTGGGGGGGGGCGACGCCACATGACCGGTGCCACCATAGGTCGGGAGCGCGGAGAGTGCGGTACGACAGGTGGAGCACCTGGGGTGGGCCTTTGGCCTGCAGCCCAGTCATCCAAAGTGGGTGCCCCAACGGACAAAGACGGACCGCGTGATGAAACACGGCCAAAGGGAACCGCGGGAGTGGATTATTTCAGCCGAAACCGCACGGACTAGGAGGCCCACGGGCGAGCGTGGGTAGTCTAAGCGCAGCGTGGTGGTGCAGGTGCCCCTCGGCCCCAAGAGGTGGCACCAGAGTATTAAGGGCTCGGCCTGCCACTGCGGTGAAGCCGGCCCCCGTCGCGAAGGGATCACCCACGGAGGCGATGGCCCGTGGGGGGCAGCCGTCCGCGCAGTATTATTTGTCACCAACTGCGCGTTTGTGCGCAGCACAGGGACGGCTGAGGACCATGGGGCTGCCGACCCATTGGGCCCCGCCTGGCGCAGAGGGGCCCCATATGGCCCACAGGGTAAGCGCGACGGAGACCACTTAGTATTGGGAGGTGGAGGTTGTCCCCAGCTGCCCGAGGTCGTTGTTGTTTTTACGCTGTGTGGGACCACGGCTGCACCACCAGGGAGGCCTCAACCTGCCCATGGGAGAACCGCTGGGCTGTCGTGGGCCACGTGCACCGTGCACCGTGGGAACGGTCGTTGGCGTCGTTGGCGTACGCGAGCAACATGTCCGTCACAAGCGAAGCCGGGAGCTGGTGGGACGGGCCTGCCGTGTGAAGGCACAGTCCTGTCAAAGGATGGACCACTTTACCAAGAATCCGGCCTCCCCAGGCCCACCCACCGGAGCCGGCGGGTGGCCGCCCTGCCGAGAGGAAATGTGACCACCACGGAGCATGCGCGTGAACGTTGCCAGGGTGGGGGGAAGCCGAGTGGCGCGGTATGCCACCTCGGCGAGCGTGGCGGAGGGGGGGAGGAGCAGCCGATAGCCGCAAGTCAGGTAAGTAAGGGAGGTGGGGAGAGGGGCAATGCCGTTGCCAGGTGTGCGGTGACCGCGGAGGACCCAACAGTGAGCTTTGCGAGTGGTGAGTTTGCGGGGGGAATGGTGTTCGACAGGTGGGGGGGCGACGCCACCTGACCGGTGCCGCCACAGGTCGGGAGCGTGGAGAGTGCGGTGCGACAGGTGGAGCACCTGGGGTGGGCCTTTGGCCTGCAGCCCAGACATCCAAAGTGGGCGCCCCAACGGACAAAGACGGACCGCGCGGTGAAACACGGCCGAAGGGAACTGTGGGAGTGGATGATTTCAGCCGAATCCTCACGGACAAGAAGGCCCACGAACGAGCGTGGGTAGTCTAAACGCAGCGTGGTGGTGTAGGTGCACCCCAGGCCCAAGAGGTGGCACCAGAGTATGAAGGCCTCGGCCTGCCACTGCGGTGAAACCGGTCCCCGTCGCGAGGGGACCGCCCACGGAGGCGATGGCCCGTGGGGGGCAGCCGTCCGTGCAGTATTATTTGTCACCAACTGCGTGTTTGTGCGCAGCAAAGGGACGGTTGAGGACCATGGGGCTGCCGGCCCACTGGGCCCCGCCTGGCACAGGGGCCCCATATGGCCCACAGGGTAAGCGCGACGGAGACCACTTTGCATCGGGAGGTGGAGGTCGCCCCCAGCTGCCCGAGGTCGTTGTTGTCCAGAAAGCAAGCGTTGCTTTCCATGACGGGCTGAGTGGCAACTCTGAGAACTGACATGCGCGGGGGAAAGGGTCTTGAGCCGCCGACGAGCTGCGCGGGCCAGCCCTTGAGAGAGCGGGGAAGAGGCAAACGTGCAGGAGGGCCGGCTCCTCAGGCCAGGGGGGGGGGAGGGACCTGGTT